AATAAATAAGGACTCACAGAATGAGAAGTAAATTAATCACCTTAATTTAGAGAGATCAGAAAAGACTTGATCAAAGAAGCCAAATTTAAACCAGACTGCCCTCCTTGATCTCTAAACTCCAAACTACTTGGCTTCTCCCTCATCAGGCTATTGCTTGTGACTCTAGGGTATCCTTTTGTACTTGTAGCAAAAGGTTGATTATGAAGTAATCTAACAGTCCCGATGTGGTTCAGTTATTCAGCAACCTATCCCGTGTTTACCTAAACCGTGGCCTGGTAAATTGGCAATTAGAGTATCTTTGAGTGGTTGTTTTTTAATAAATTCCTTTTAATTTCAGCATTAAACCCCAGATGTCGTGTTTCCAGGTTTCTAGTTTGGACCTAAGCCAAGCTGGAAAAGACATCCACTCAAGGCAAACGGTTAATGAGAATGTGTGCGGTGAACTAGGGGACTCGGTCCAGTTACCAAACCTCAGACTTTGGGCCCCCTGATCTAGTGCTGCAGGACCTTAGGGACCCCTTGCTAGAGTGGAGGATGAAGCAAAGCTACCATGTTTCCTACAGCATCCACCCCTCTCCAAAACATCCAGGTTTACGCTGTTTGTTTCTAAGAGTAAAAATTCCCGATAAGTGACTCATCATCACAACTTAAATAGTGTACTAATTTCATTTGATAAGTAAATTGTCAACAGCCTTTAAAAATTGGTCATGTAATTAGTAAATCTATGCGTTTCGACCTCTTCTTCCATTTAGATGAAATAGTCATTAAGCCAGACTGTAATCAGATAGAAAGAATCTTGAAACCTTCCAGGCATTCTTTTTTCATCTCTCATTTGCCTCTTTAATTGCTACCTTTCTGTATTTTAGGCAGTAGTAGAGGTAAAATGCCCCTTTTCTTATTGTAAGAATTTAGCTTGTACTAAAATGTATAACAAGTTCTGGAAACTTTCTTTTAAATGTTAAAATCCAAATTATTTTATCAAAAATCTATACATTGTGTTTTTATAGAGAGATGCTTGTAGCAGTTTGTTTTTTAATAGTAAAATTTTAGAAATACAAAATAAGGGAATGGTATTCCATTCAGTGGAGCAGCCAATTAGAATTGTTTACCAAAAGGTTTTAATAAAATCCAATGGCAGGATATGGAATGGTATATATAGGCCACAAACATAACTTTAGGTTTTTTTCTCTTTTTTTAATTAAACACACATATGTAAAATCAAAGTCTAAAAACAAAATAATTAATTATGGTTATTTGATAGGTAATGGGCTTGTGAGTGATTTCTATTTTTTATATAGTTTATATTTTTTTAGTTTTCCAGGGAGTATAAATTATTACAATAATTAAAAATGCATGTGTGTCTGTATATATTTTAATGTAATCATTCAACACTTGAGCTGTTTAGAACTCAGCTATCTGAAAAATCTGGACCACTACTAAGATCCTGGAAGTAATAAAAAAACATTAACTCTGAGCAGCCAAAACTAATGTTAAAAACTCATAAAGTCAAGCATGATATGCCCCTCACTCAGGCCTATGTACTCTTACTTTGCACACAGTTCTCAGGCCATCCACCACAGGCGGGCACAGCGAGTCTGAAGCAGACATTAACAGTAGACAAGGGCCTGCAGATGAGGGCAGTCTCAGGCGCACTGCCAGCCCGGTGGTGAGAGAGGACCCAGGGAAGCGTGGGTGAGGGCGGGAGAGCCTGGGACCCAGACTCAACGCCAATGAGTGTCCTGTCATCTCTTCCCCGTGTCACAGTTAAGTCATACGTGTTCATATCGATAGCCCAGCGTTATCAAGAAGATCCCCTTCTCTTCAACTTACTCTAAGATTATAAGAAAGACTTTAATAAAAAGTTTTAAAAGGTCTTGTTACACGTGGCTAAAAATGGGGGAAAGACAACATGTGGTGATTGAAGGGCATACTCTAGACATGGAGACGTTCCTGACTACTGGTAGCAACTGATTTCTTTACCATTCTCCAGGGGGAGCATTTTCCTGTTACTTGGGCTTTCCAGATTGTATCTGATACTGTCATTACCTGGGTTCTCCAAAAAATCTAAAGGAACTTTGACGTCAGGATGTCAGAAAATGCTAAAGTCTCTACCTTGCAAAGCCTTAGAATTCATCCATTAAGATAGGAGTAGCACCCCAGAGCTTAGAGACAGGCTGGGTGGGTTAAATGAGAAAGCCTGTGTAATGGCATTTAGCTTGAAGTCGGGCATTTCATTAGCAGTTAGCAAGTGTTAGTTGAATCTGAATGTGATGTTCCCACTTGGGACACAACAGACAGCGTGGGCTCTGGAGGCAGACCAAATCTAGTTCAGATGTGGGTTCTGCAGCCTTGAACAAACCACATAACCCATCCACCTGCCTACCTTTTCCACAAGGTAGATGTGAGGGTTCAGCTTTATTGATGGGCAAGAAAATCATGGCTCCCTTCCCATTCTAGTTGAGGGGAGGGCTGGCACACTTTGTTAGTTTCCTGTTGTACAAAGTTGTGGAGAGCTTTCAGAGTCTCAGAATCTAAGAGGGCTACAAAACCCCCTTTCCTCTTGTGTTGTAAGCACAGCTTGTTGTGCCCAAGCCTGTTCTCCTGCCCTGCCTTTTATCAGCCCCCCTGCAGCCCAGCAGAGAAGCGGAACAGGGTGCTTGCGGGGTGGGGCCGGGTGGCAGGGGCCGAGTGGCAGTGGCAATGGGGATTATCATGTCGTTCACCCTTCACGGCCATGAGTGGTCAAGCCCCTGACCTCTGGCTGTATATCAGTGAGAGCACCCTTCAGCATGCTAGGCTGGGTCACGTGATGCGTCGCCCCCTCCTGGGCTGGAGTGACAACTGAAAGCTTGGCGTGGCTGCCCAGAGTAGAAAGTCTGTGGGTGGTGCTGATGCTCTGTTTTGGTTTGATTCCCTAGGCCCCCTGCAAAATCATTTAGAGAGGGATACTGTCAGCAAGTGGTAGAGTAAAAACAACAAGGTTGGCAAAAATGTGTGGCTTACCCAATTACTGTGAGTTTTGACAACATATTAACTGAAAACCTAGATTAAGGCCAGTAGATTTTTCTCTGTTTTGTTTTGTTTCTCTTGAGAACTGAAAACAGTAATTTGCTGGTCTACTTGCCTTGTTTCCTATGCGCACCAGTGACCACCCCTAATTATGAAATCTCTCCTGACACCAACACTTAAAGCCAAGCTACGGAGTCTGATGAGCCCATGGATTAGCAGCCTGGTGGTTGCCTTTTTGCAAGAAGAATAACCCTTTCTTAGGTGTCTGAGACCACAGGCATAATCGAACATCAGAAAAAATCTGAGAGAAGTGGGAGCAGGCAGCTGGTACGAGGGCTTGTGGCTGTGGACAGAGGTGGAAGGGGCCCTAGATCCTGCCTTCTTTTTCAGGGCACTTATCACAACTGTAATTTGACAATGTATTATTTCAGTAATTATGGCTGTCTTTCTCCTGCAAGACTGGAAGCTCCTCAGAGGCAGGCCTGCTCTGTCTTGCATGTTTCCCCTCCCCAAGGCCTGGCTCGTGTGATAGCTGTTTGGTGGGTGGGTTTAGTTTCAAGTCTAGCCTCTGTGCCTGCCTCGTAGCTGCTGTTTTGCAAGCAGCCACTTCTCTGTATGTGTCCTTCTCTGAAGAATACAAGTCAAACGGATCTTGTGTTTGCACCTCCTTCTGTCTCTGGCCCCAGTCTGTTCATATCGGTGTATTGAGCTGACTGCCTTCATCCAAGTGTAATATCTAGAACAGTGATCCATACTCCAGGGTGGCTTAACTAACACAGCATATAACATGACCATCATTTCCAGGGTCTAGATGCTCGATTTCCATTAACTCGTGATTATTTATTGTTTCACACTTAAGAGTAATAGTGTATACCCTGCTTTCTTGACAGGGTTTTTGTGAGAACCAAGTGAAACGATATATATGAAATTACTTTAGAAACGAAATGCTTTGTGTAGCGAAACAGTGATTGTTATTGCTGGCCCTAAAGTAGCTTCCTGAGACGGAAGTGAAGTTCAGGAGAAGGCACTGAAGACCAAGTATTGTCAACCCTGTGTGTTTACACATGTGTGTAAACCATGTGTGTTTACATAGCCTTATGAAGGAGAAGCCATTTTCCAAGTTAATGTTTCATTAAAAAAAATAGCTGGATATAGATATTAGATAGATAATAATCTCTGTTAGATAGATATAGATACAGATACAAATCCCCGCTCTGCCAGTTCTGTAATGCATTTGGGTGTCAGAAAAGCTGTTGATCATTGAGTCGTGAGTCATGGGTTTTAGTTTAGCCTGCCACCATCTCCCTGAGGTTATCAGGAACAAGTCATTTAACTTCTCTGCCAAATAAGGATGCCTGCTTTATGAAGATAAAATAAGAGTTGAATATTTTTTTAACATTTATTTATTTATTTTAGAGAGAGAGAGAGCACAAGCAGGGGGAGGGGCAAAGGGAGAGGGAGAGAGAATCCTGAAGCAGACTCCCCCACTGAGTGCAGAGCCTGATGCGGGGCTCAATCCCAGGACCCCAAAACCATGACCCGAGCCAAAACCAAGAGTCAGCCGCCCAACCGACTGAGCCACCCAGTGCCCTAAGAGTTGAATATATAAAACAAGAATAAGAATATTGATAGCACTTCAGCCCTTGGGGTTGATTACGTCCCTCAGATACTTTTCTTTCAGATCCCATGCCTCCAGTTACTTCAGCTCTTCCCCACACGACATCGTTTCCATCCCCCATCCCACCCTGAGCACTGTCCTCTGGATATATTTTAGTGTGTCTTGTATCCTTCTTGAAGGAAGCTCTCAAACTTGAATTCAGAATGCTTCATGTTTTTTCTTGCCTTTGGACACTACAATTAATACTAAGATTGATTATTATCAATTTTTATTCCCTCAAACCTAAGTATGTCGTTTCTTGTCTCTGGGTCCAGAAGGCTTAGGCTGAGTTCGGAAGTTCAAAGTAACTTCTCGTTTTTTGTTTGTCTTCCAGCGACAGACATCACACCTCCAGTGCAATCCCTGTTCCAAAGAGACAAAGCTCCGTATTTGGAGGCGCAGATGTAGGCTTCTCTGGGGGGATCCCGTCCCCAGACAAAGGACACCGAAAACGGGCCAGCTCAGAGAATGAGAGACTCCAGTACAAAACCCCTCCTCCCAGTTACAACTCAGCGCTCGCCCAGCCTGTTCCCGCCATCCCTTCCATAGGAGAGTCCGAGAGAAAGACAACATCTCTGTCCTCCTCCTTGGATACCTCCTTGGACTTCTCCAAAGAAAACAAGAAAAAAGGAGTTGATCTGGGTGACAGATTAAATGGAGGTCATGTGAGTGTGAACACTAGCCAGGAACAAGAAGAAGCCCTCTCTGGGCATGCAGCCACCGTCAACGGCACTCTGCTGCCCAGCGAGCAGGCTGGCTCCCCCGGCGTCCGCGTCCCGGGGGACTTCCGCCCAGTCTCAGAGCCCGAGCTCTGCTGTACTGTGGAGCAAGCGGAAGAGATCATCGGCATGGAAGCCACAGGTTTCACCTCAGGCGATCAGCTGGAAGCCTTTAACTGCATCCCGGTGGATAGTGCCGTGGCAGTGGAGTGTGATGAGCAAGTTCTGGGAGAATTTGAAGAGTTCTCCCGAAGGATCTATGCACTGAATGAAAACGTGTCCAGCTTCCGCCGGCCACGCAGGAGTTCTGATAAGTGAAGTGAGCAGACAGCCAGTAGGACCAGGAGAGAGGCGCTGCCTAAAAGGAGGATAAAGCTGCACTGGTTACCCCTTGTAATAATTACGACACAAAATGAATATTAATGGAGGATATTCCTCAAAAAACAGACTTTGTAAATCAAGGAGGGACTCAGGATCATTGTGTATCAGTGGGCCAGACAAAGTTAGATTTTGCTTGCAAGATTTGCTTTTCAGGCCTGATGATTGTTTTAAGGCAAAAGTCACTCTCTAGCTCGAGTCACCTTATAGGTATTTGTCTGCTTTTTAATTTACGCTTCTGTGCTATCCTCAGAGGGGAGATGATAATATATAAATAATATAATAAGCTCACTTTTAGTTTCTCATAAGCATTTGCCCTCACCGTAGTTTATAAAGCTTGGGAAAACCAAATAATCCAAAAAAGGTTTTCACCATTTACTGAAAGACCTTTGACCATCCATGAGTTTGATGAATAACAAGCACAATGGTCTCCTTACACCCAGGCCTCCCTGCCCCTGCCCCCAGTCACCCCATCTGCTGCCCCATCTTCACAGTGGATGGGTTGTGCACCCTGAAAACTGAGGACATCAGATTCACTGGTTCTTGAATGCAGAAGCCAACACCTTCCACCTCCTCAGCTCAGCCATACCTTGGTATAACCCTGAAATTAGAGGAAAAACCTCCCCTCTGTGGTAGATCCCAGGGGACGCTCTAGGACATCTCCCCCCCCCCCAAGGTTACAACAGTCAGATGGCATCCAATCCCCTTTGGGGGCCAGAGTTTCTACGTGGGCAGATGCTGTAGTCAAAAACCAGGCGTGCTCTCTGGCAATGCACTCACCAGACAGAAATCCCTATATGTAAATTCCATGCTAATTTATTAAATTCCAGTTGGAAAGGAAGGTGCTGGATATGATATAAAATCTGGAGAGAGTCAGGCTGTCCGATGTGCAGACCGCAGGGCAGTCAGGATAATTGGATGAAGAGGCTTAGATGAGGCGTAGATTCTATTGGTATGTGTGCAGGTGCATTCATAGTCAATTATGTTCTTGAAGTCCGATTTCATTCCTGGAGCTCAGATCTCATTTGCTATTGCTCTATACTTTATATACCCAAGGACATTGCCTCAGGGTTGCAAGCTCTTTAAGGAAAATTTATGCGTGTATCCATGTATCGTATGGAAGAATAAAAACCGAATTTGCTTCACTTGACCCGATTTGTTTTTTCCAGTTTTGACGTTCATCTTGAAGCTGCATCTCCATGTTACATCATGACAGGGCGAGCCTGAACCGAAACCGCGGCTGTGTCCACAGCAGTGTCGTCAGCTTGAGTCGACACGGTTTGTGTAGCTACACAAACGCCCTCACACACGGACCGCCCGGGAGTCCGGCAACAACTGGGCTCCGAGGCCTCGCGGTCCTTTTCGTGTGTTGTCTGAGTGCTCTTGGGCTCAAGTTCTCATTGACAGCTACATTATCAAGCAGAATAGTTCATGTTGTCATTTTCCACATAAAGAGATCTCACTGAATCCATGCTTGACAGACAGACCCGACCTGCAAGCAATTAAGAGCTTTAACTTGATCTGGAGAAATCCATCTTATTCCACAGAAAGAGGCGGAACTCCTCCAGACCTAACGCAGAAGCCGTTAGGAGTCACAGCTTCTTCGCGGTGTACTGTCACTCATGTTAGAGTCCACGAGGGGGGAGATAGCTGTGGGCCTGGCTCTACGTCAGACTGGGCTGTTGGAGCCCTCCAGTGAAACAACATCCACCCGCACCCCCAAAAGGACAAGGTTTTGGAAGGACTGTGTTAGTATTGAACAATGGGAGGCACATCACATGTGGCTTAAGGTCCACAGATGGGAGTGGACTTCAAACTTCATGCCAGACTTAAAGACAGGGTACACTGAGGTGCAGGCCCTGGAGCCTGGGTCTTGGCATGCCCCTGCTTGGATGAGCACCCCTAGTTACAATGTTCATCTCAGGTTCCACACAGCCAGACAAAACCCGGGGCTCTGGGGCTCTGTCAGTCTCCTGTCTGTGGACTTCCGAATTCTGGGACCCACAGCACGGAGCCCTGTCGCTGAATATCATTAGCTCAGAACCGGTTACCCATGCATTGGCTCGGTCCACACCGTGTTCAGTGACATTAGCCTCACAGCGCCACCACTTAGGTTTGGGTTCCTTTGGTTTGGGTTTCAGGTTTTCGTTGCATTTGTTCGGTGCCTCCAGTTTCTGCCTTGCCTTGGGTAGAACCTGCAGTATTATATATCTCCAGGAGGAACTCTGCTCAACATTTTCCAAAGCTGCAGAATTCATTTTGCCTCTGTTTAAAGTGGCCAAGGCCAAAATATGGGATGAGTTACTATCTCCTACTAATCTTTTTGATTAGTCTTGTAAATCACTAAAAAATAAATAAAATCTGCTTTGAGGATATCAGCTGAAATGCAATTCACTGCTATCCATGTTGGAACTTCTAAGAGCCCTTTCCGTTTTCATGTAGCTGAGACAATTTTAACAGTCGGCAAATGTTATCAAATGAATATTTGATTGTGTTCTCTCTCTCCACTTCCCCTTGCCCACTTTAGAAATTCCAGAGATTTTTTTTTCCCCCTCAGAATATTAGTTTTGGAAGATTGTATCCAGCTATATTTTTTTAGCAGTTCTAATGGTGCCCATTTATCTTGACCTAACCGGTTATTTAAATAATTTTTTAAACCACCACCAATAATAAAATGGCATGTGAAACTGATCTGTTGGTAATTGGAAGAAAACTCAGCATCTGTATTTATAAAATAAAATTGATTAGTATTTATTTTGAGAGTAAAAGTGTATGTTATTTCCCTGCCATGTTTGAGTCCCGTCTTCATTGTTTTGAATTTCATGTTGAAGCTGAGTTAACTATGAAAACCTTGTTCGTAAAACAGTCAGCCAGCCATTTTACATTTACTGAGCTAGCTCTCTCTCTGTGAGGGACTGGGCTAAGCAAGGTTAATACAAAGATCAATAAGCCTTGGCCTCTGCCATGTGCTCTAGGGATGGAGGGTAGGGGATGGGCGTATTGATGCGTTAGAATTCAGTGTGATCAATTCTGTGACGGAGAGATGTATAGCCAGGGTGTGGAATGCAGAGAAAGCTCACAGACTCAGGGATCGGGAAAGGTTCGTGGAGGTCATGCAGATGAAAGCTAGATGGGATGAAAGATGTCTAAGATATTGCAAGTGGAAGGCACAGCATGGGCAAAGGCCCAGAGGCAAGGCAGGGCCTCAAGTGTTTGCAAATTGGCAAGTTTTCCCCTGCTAGTGGCCTGAGTAGATGTGAAGAAGGGTGAGGAGAGATTGAATTGCAGGCCGGTGGGGAAGGCTGTCAGGTGCTGAGACAGGAGATTTAGACGCTTGCGGGGGGGGTGGCGGGGGGAGAGACCCACCTGGGAGGCACCCTTCCCAGGCGGTAAAGCAGAAGAGTAACTTGGTTAGATCTGAGTAGCAGCCGGCAGCCAAGTCGGGGCTGGACTTCAGTAGTGGTAAGCAGACTTGAGTCTGTTTAATCTTCTTTCCTATTTTGTTGTGAAAAAAAAAGTCTGTCTGAAAACGAGGCGCCTTCTTGCGCCCTGATGTTTTCAGGGTAAGTACTGGGTCCCGGGCAGGGCAGGTACTGGGCGGACACAGTGCAGCCAGCGTCTGATCTGCAGAAGCTGACTCCCAAGGCCCCAACTCAGCCACTTGGAACCTGTGACCCTGCTCAAGTCATTGAATTTTTAAGGGCCCCCACTCCTCCGGTGGTCCCTTTTGTCCTACAGCAGGGCCCCCGCCTAGTGACAGGATGCCCAAGACTTGTTCTCACCATTTCCAGTTCTAACACTTGGGCACAGCCACCTCATCTCTGAATCTGGCCCCTGCTCTGTGGCGTAGGGATGGTGCCCCCCCACCCCCACCCCCACCCCACACAAGGTTGGATTACGTGTTAGAAGAGATTAATATTTTTATGCACTTAGTGATCATTGCAAAGCACCATGCACATTGGGAGGAGTTAGTCCTTCAACAAGGATTTCTGGCATCATCTATACCAGGCCGTGGGGGGCGGTGGGGGGGGTGCAACTGAAGTGCAGATATTTATTCTGTACACACTGAGAATGTGTCAGGGCTGAAACTGGGCTTTTGAAAAGCTAAGCTCTAAACAAATGTCAAGTGTTCCGAAGTGTTTTAGTGGGTGGTATGGACACAGTGTTGAGACATGGTCTATAAGCCTAATTAGCTTAATTTGCATGTTTTTTAACACCTGGCAGATGAGCTTATTCAGGCCCACCTCATCCATAAATATGCTCTTAAACAGCTGCTGGCCGCCTCACCGCATGCTGAACTGGTGCCCAGAGCTCTTAATTTTGCTTGAAGTAGATAGAAGCTTTTTCTTTTTTTTTTCTCCCCCTCCTAGCGCATCTAATTACAGTTTTGTAGGTAGACAGCTCAGCCTTGTGGATTTTAAATGAATAAAAAACACGTCTATAAAATCATTACACACATTTTAGAGGCTGGCGATGTCAGCAATCCAGAAGAACGGTCTTGAATCTGGATAAAAGTGAGAAAGACTGCCAGTTGGCAAGGCCACCGTAGCCAGCCGAGCCCGGGGGACATCACAAGCGGGCCCGCGGCAGGCGGGGATCCCTTCGGTTCTGTCCAAGACACGACTGCAATCAGCTTCCCTCGGTCCCCGTTAATTACAGGCAGCAAATTCGGAGGAATGGAGGGTGCGAGTGGACAGAAATACGGGGTAACCTGACTCTCAAGAAGCAGATACAAACAGGAAGGAAGCAGTCTGGATGTATGAGCAAGGAGCCCGCGGCCTGACAGGTCCCAGCCAGCCTGCTGCTCACCGGCTGTGTGACCCAAACAAGGCCCTTGACTTCTCTGAGCCCATGTGATCCTCTGAAAAGTGAAGCCAGCTCCTTGCTCAGGTTTTCCCTTGTGCCTGGACAGCGGTTCTTCTTGCCTTAAGAGCAGTTCGGTATTCATTCTTCCAAACCTGCCTCGGCTGGCCTGGGGCTCCAGAGCATGGCGGAAAAGGAGAGGACCCTCCTGTGCCCCCTCTGCCTGTGGTGGAGAGCTTGGGGCTAAGCCACTTAACACAGCCTACTTCTGCTCAGGGATTTGTGTGCAGCAGAACAGCTACCACGCTGCCATCTGCTCAAGATCCTTGTGAAATCTATAACAAAAATTAAAAAAACTCAGCTAGAATGACTTCTACCGTTCCTAAAGATGGCCCTCTGTCCTCAGGAAAATGATAAATTCGTTTTAGTTTGATAGGACAATGCATAAAATATTTTAAGGGAAATGGTTGAACTAAGTTCTGATATTTTAAGGGATAAACTCATTCTCTCAAAATTTTACTTGCAAAAAAATGTTTACTTCACTTACAGGGAACAACCTGTTCCTTGAAGAAACAGGCATCACTTCGTGTCCACAGATTTCTTGCTCTTCGGGTGAGGGGCTTGGCCGCACCTTGTTACTGTGATGCGAGGGGACCCCCTTCCCCGCCCCAGGCTACCTTTCATGCGGATGGTACGGGAGCTTTTGCTCGTGCAATAGAGGTCTCTAAAGCTTGCTGACCTCGAGGCCACACCCTTTGCTTCCAGAAACCTTCCAGTTGCCTTGACCGCTCCGTCCCCAGCCCTGTCGGAGCTCTCTGGTGGCACACGGCGGGTGCTCCTGAAGTTGGGGGCATGGGAGAATTGAGAGCATAGAGGTGAGGATTTTGTAAGTCACCTGCGCCTGTCTCTTGGTCCCTTGGGAGCTCTGTGGGGGCCCAGCATGCCCAGAGTCGGCCTCAAAAATCACCGGCGACCTTTAGAGGCAGAACTGTCCACGGATTAGCTGAGACTCTGGAGCGGGGCTTTTGTAAACAGTAAAAAGAGGTGCACGTTTGAGGGATTATCACAGTTTCAGGACACACCCTGAGCGGGAATGAGCCGCCACTAGCTGGGAAACCAGTGCAGGGGCTGAGCCTGCCGCCCTACAGATACCCGCACTTCGACTCCTCCAACATGTGGTGTGTCCTGTCCCGCCCCAGCCGCTTCCATGATAGCATCTGACGCCGAGGACAGCCGCGGGGAGATGGGGGCATGTGTTACCATCACCACCTGACCGGGAAGCCCGCAGAAGGCCCCTGAGGGCGGGTGACCCGCCCGAGATCACGCAGATCCCAGAGCCACACTGGGGCCAAACCAAACCCTGACCCCTCCCCAGAGCCCCTTCTGCACCCTGTGCCTTATCAAGGCCCCGTATGTAGCCAGCTCCCTCTGCCCGGCCATCTGAACACCCTGCCAGCTACAGTAGCTCTTCCCCGTTCAGGAGCCCCTTGCGAAGGAGGACGTTCCTGCCCAAGCAGTAGAAGAAGTCCGCACCTCATGAGCTTGTGTTGTGAGGTGGATTGCAACTTTCCAGGGACTGGAAATGTCCATCTGTAACTGTCAGAAATGTGGTGTAGCTGTCAAAGCTCACGGGTTCAGCTGTGTGAAGTGTGACTCACAGACACGTAAGATACAGGGAGCCAGAGGGTCACCTTTGAGGACGCACCTTAGCTGCGTCCAACAGGTATGTCAAGGGGATCAAATGGGGGCAGGGCTACCAGCCAGGGCAAGAAGCTGGAGAGACGGAATTTCCAGGGCCCTGTATTTATCTCTTCATGCCACAGGCAGTTACTGTCCACACCCTGCACGCTTGGAGGACCAGTGAGGGGGCCGGGGCAGTGGTAGTGAGAGCGGGGACAGCCTGTGTAGACAGCACTCCCAAGAAGTTTACCTGTAAAGAAATGGAGAGAAATAGGGTGGAAGCTGGAGAAGAATGTGACGCCGAGGGCAGATTTCGTGTAAGTGCTAATGGGAGGAAGCCAGGAGGCAGTAGCCGGGAGCAGGTGAAGGTTCAGGAAGAAGACAGAGCAATGAGAGGAGCAAGGTCTCAGAGCAAATGGGAGGGGGTTGGGGAGAGGGGAGCCCCGGGGGTGGTGCAGACATTACCTGGGTCAGAGGGGGACAGGAGGAAGGCAGGGAGGGCAGGACTGGACTAGAGCGTCCTTCTGCAGAGGGTCGGAGCTGCGGTTTTCCCTCCTAGCCCCTGACGCCCGACGCCTGGGACCGCGGCCTGATGGGATGACTGTCCCAGGGTACAGGCGGGTGGCGGCGGCTTTCTAGCCTTTTGAGGGCGATTCCTGAGGCTCAGGGGCAAGGACTGGCTGGCTGCCCAGGGAGGGGGCGGCCGGTGGCTGGGGTCTCTGCCTGGATTGCAGTCACCTCCTCCCTGGTGGCGGCCTTCAGCCATCCTCCACGCTCCCTAGACACAGCTCGAACCCTCCAGAACTGTTACCTACAGGAAAGAGACAGATACTACTTACTCCGCCAGATGGATTGTACTCCGCTAAGTTAACCGAATTGCTGATGAGGGGAAAATTCTCTTACTGAAGTATTCCAAGTAAAAAGATCCAGAAGGGATAACGGAACTGAACTATAACCACGATGCAACTCCTAATGAATCTGATGCGTCTAAGACAATGATGGGCAGTGACTGCCCATGTCACAGAGTGAGCCAGGCATTTACACCTCCTGATGGAAGAACACCACACCCATGAAGTACTCGTGGCAAAAGTTCGACCCGAAGTAGGGTCAGAGCTCTCTCTGTGATGTCCCTTGTAATGGACACTGGCCCCGTATGGCTACTAAGCAATTGCAAAGTGGCTAGTTCAAACTGAGGCGTGCTGTGGGTG